TGAAGTCTTCACCCAATCGTTTTCTTTCTTTGGGTGCGGCATGCATTCTACTTCCATTCAGAAGTAGAATGGCTCACCCTCACACTCACACGGTAGATTGCGAGGTCAGCCGATGCATAAGTCACTATTATTATCCCATGGAAGCATTTTGAGGTGTGGTGTACTGGCAAGTGCCACGTTTACCAGCTTACCACGCGCGCGGTCCACGGTCAAATCGCGGATCGACTTCGCCCAGGCCCAGCAAGCCTTCTTCTTCCGGGGACGATAAATCGATGGGATAATAATAGTGACTTATGCATCGGCTGACCTCGCAATTTACCGTGTGAGTGAGGGTGAGCCATTCTACTTCTGAATGGAAGTAGAATGCATGCCGCACCCAAAGAAAGAAAAGGATTGGGTGAAGACTTCATCCTGCCCCGAATTGGAAAGAGCTACTGAAGGCGCACAGGTGGCCAGATGTGGGTAGATGTGAACCTGTAGAGCTCAATGACCCTATGGTGAGGATAAAGCAGAAAAAAGATGGAATTCTTCTAGATCTTGCTCCTCTTCTAATTTTTCTCCTAGCAGTCCATTTTAACTTTGTGCGAGACCGGGTTGTGGGGCACAGAAACCTGTCCAATATTCCACATTCTATGCGGTTCGCCTTGAGGGGGTGGAGGACATCCACGGACCAATTTACGGAGAGCTGTAAGCGCCTGCAAAGCTAGGAAGTAGTGTAGAACTTGGTCTTCACACCAGTTTTTTCGATTTTGGGCCTTATCTAGCGCAAAGGGTTCGAAGAAAGAGTTTAAGCGACGAAAAAGAGGATTTTGCGTAAGCCTGGGGGTGGAGCTCTGAGGTCGGTTAACCATTTCATGCAAAAAAATGGTTTGAAAACGGAACCCCTAAAATTTCGCAGCTTAACAGCACTTTACAGGAGCTCAAAAAAGCTTAATTCTAAGCCAAACTGTCCCCCAAATTCAGCTGACCTATTAGTTCCCTTAACAAGTGTCTGTTGGTAATCTTGGTTAACCAGTTTTCAGTTTGCTCACAGTTACCGTTGATCAAACAATCTGTTCCCGTTTACTGAGGCTGTTTACTCTATACTTAGCTTTCAGCATTCACTTGTAATGATCTGCGACAGCTTCCGCCTGCGGCACTTCTGAAAGCAGCCTTTCCAGATATTCAGGTTCGTTCGGCTTGATTTGATTTCTTTGTCAGGTGACATGCGAGTAGTTGAAATGACGCTCTGAGTTCATACGACTCGCGGATCGCCTCACGAAACGTTGCAAGGCTTTTGAAAAGCACGCCTTCACTTTTCTGGGGTCATTTAGAGCACCAGGCTGGTCCAGGATAGCGTTTTCATTGACTAGAAGGCCATTTATAAGCATACAGTCCAAATTTAAAACTCGCGAATAGAAAACGGGTAACTAGCACATTCTAAGCAGCTCAGCGGTACCGAGCATTATCATTTTCAGCCCTTATGCGACAGAACTAATAATATTGATGTCACCGTGCCCCGTAGTCCCCCCTTATTCTTCAGAGTTCAGACCGATTCCTCGTTCGAAAAGATTTGTACCTTGAACGTTCGATTAGTATATGTGGAAAAGGAAAAACCAGGAAAAAAGTCAGCCATTTTTCCGACAAGCATAATCTTTGCAAATTTCTCTGAAACGCGAATACGACTCCCTCTCTCCTAACAACGAGCAAATACGACCCCTGCCCTTATAGCGTCAGTGGAACAAGAAAAAAAACAAAACTATCAAACGAAATTTTCTTGGCCAAACACGACACCCCTCTTGCCAGCTACCGAACGACCCCCCCCCGCTGGGGATTCCCCACGTATGACGTGGCCTGTCTCCAATACGGCTCGGTTCGGCTGCAATGTCGAAGCGCAAAGCCAGGCCACTGCTCAAGTTAGTGGCTTTGAGGGGTGGGGACTTCAGGAGCCACGCACATTCCGCTTGCCCGGCAATCTGCATAAAGATCGCGGCTTGCAATTTGAGGCCCACTTCTCGCGGACAAACGTTGCGTTATTGAATTGGATTGTGTTCGCTTCACTTCATAACCACGCTCTTGACTCTGGTAGGACCTGGATTGTCATGACCGTTAAATTTTGTTTTATTTTGCATAATTAGAGTAAGCAAGTAGATATAGCAAATATGGTGCCAAGAAAACCTGCAACAAGTTGGTGGATCAGTTTCGATCCGCGAGTTTAATTTCACACGGCGAAAATCTTCTGGGATGAGATAGGCGTGGCTCGCGTACTCCAACTATCCATGGACGGTGTGGAGTGGTGCTTTTGGAAAAGAACATTTCCATTTTGGCAACATTCGGGGTTGCGTCTCTGATCAAACAGAAAAAAATGGGACAGGTGTTTATTCACTGAAATATCTTACGAGCAACCCATTCTATGCAGTGCTCAAAGGCCGCGCCTACTCCTCATCCATCCGTCTCAGGGATAAGAAGTGTTGCTTGCCCGCTAATCCCTATCGCTTGACTGTCACCGTACTTTCTGTACAGCTTTCTCTCAGAGGCCGTTCTTGTTGTCGTTTTGATGAAGTACGACGGACTGTCCTGTTGAAAAATAGGAGCGAAGGCTCACTGGCAAAAAAACCATCGCAAGCGCGCCCTCGATCGTAACCATGCTGGATTTGCAAACTGTCGCGCGCGAAGACTCGTGGTCCTACCTTCACATACTAGGGAAGACTTAGTACTAGGGAAGTCTGCTAAGTTTTTACTGAACCATTCGAAAAAGAGACGGCTGGCTATGGGAGTGGACGGCTTCCTTTCCTTGAACCGTGTAACAGTGAGCTTTACTTACCCTTGCCTAGTCGAAGAAACTTTCAAACTAGCCTAATTTTCTGCTTATCAGTGTGTTTCTATCAGCTGATGAGAGGGTCTTATTCTAGGGCATTGACATCCAAGGAAATCCTTTGTTCAACTGTTCAAGTCTGGGTAACATCCGTGAAGAGATCGCCGTCCTAACTGACTGTGATGCTGATACAAAGCCAATCCAATGTGACGTTGTTGATAAGGTGAGCTGCTGATCTTCTCAATCTAACTGGAGTAATAAGCTACCGTAACCTTTGTTCAGGACTGTGACTGGAAGTGCAAGACGCTGAATAAGCTGCGTGAACTTTGGAATAAAGTCAAGGCCAGTTTCATGAAGAAGATGAAGGACTGGGGAGCGGAAGAGGTAAGCCGCTCTTATAAATTCTATGTTCAGTTTTTGTTAGGGGGGCGTAGGTATGGCGCTTGTTCCGCACTGCGGACACACATAGAGTTGCGCCAAAATCGGAATGGAAGCATTTCTATTTATCTTGCAAGTGGGCAAAAACGTTTTGAATTGGGTTAGTGCATCCGGGGCGCATTTCGGACATGCAGAAGGTGCTTTTCCTGCCCAGCTCGATTTGTTGTCTTTTATTGGATCAGTCGTATCTAATACAGCAGCGTTTTAATCGGGGAAAACACGTGACAAAGCAAACTATTACTTCAGAGGGAAAGGTTATGAAGTAAGAATGGAACGAGTAAGAGGTTGTGTAGAGGGGGAGGTCAGAAAAGGAAGCGCGGAAGGTAGGGGTAGAATAGATTACTCATTCCCCAACAATCCACGAATACAATTGTCTTTATTCTGCTTCTGTCGTCTGTGCTCTCTCTAGAAGAGGAAATCTCGTGATATTGCAGCATCACGGAACGGATACCGCTCCCCTCATAGAACCTTTTGTGGATATATAGAGATTGTTCATGATAGGTGTTTCTGCTTTTGCACTTAATGTGCTTACCAACTGGACTGCGATTGATAGCCTGTGAGATGGGGCAAACAGCAGACAAGGACCGCGTCGACACCCGATTTTCAGCTCATCTCCTCTCTCTTCACCCACACCAAGAAGATCCTGGAGCGCTATTCTCGGTTGAGGAGAGCGAAGGCGAACGAGGACCATGGAGCGTGCGCTAGTTACCTCCTGAGATTCCCCCCCCCCCTGCCCAGCTCCCCGACGCCCTCCCAGCGTCTGTTCCATGGAGAGCAAACTGGTCATTAGCCGCCAGCCGCGGGTACTACCAATTGCCGATAACTGCTCTAGCCACTGCGGCCATCCCTTTTATGGCTCTTTGTAAAATTCGGTAGTGTTGTCGAAAATTTTCCATTTTTCAGACGAGGAACGACATCTCAAATTGTTCACGAGAATCAATACAACTATACTAATTACAATTTGTAAATACCATCTGTAACTACGTCATTACCCGCTTTGAGATTACTTGTGCTTCATGGTTACGGTCTTATTGAAGCCACAGCTCGAATGTGGCCACAGATATTTATTTAAATAAACCAGTGATTCAGTGCAGAATTTTTATTAATGCAAATTACTGTAAATTATGTATTATGTACAGAATACACTAAAATCGTGCCGGATACCGTACCCACCGATGAGAAAATTCGGCACTGTTCGGCTTGGAGGGGGCATTTTGCACTTTCGTAATTTCTTCTGCTAATTCCTGTCATTTCCTTTACACGCCTCGGCCTGTGAAGCTGCAAGCGAGCCACTTCAGTCACACGAATTTGCAAGTTTTCACAAGGTAGCCTGTACAAACCTGCCCAAGAAGCTTTGGTGTCCCCACCAAGCCGAACTGTGCTGAAAATTCTATGCAATTAAATGGATGGCAAAAGAACATATTTTGAACTAATGTCTACAGCAAAGTGCTGAGCGTAAGCGATGGACTGTCCTCAAGCGCCCACTCCTTATTAAACGCTCATACAATAGTAGGCGGTACCGGACAGACCCGCCCACGTCTCTGACGCTCGCGCTATGATTGGCTGATTTCTACGATTGGCGGATAGCTATGATTGGCTCAATAAGACTAGACTGAATACTGTATGAAGTTGAAAAAATTAATAAATAGACATACTCCTATGAACACGTACATTTGCTGGAACACGCGCTTGATGTAGCGCGTGATCAGCTTGAGCAGCACTGGCAATGGAACGATGGACAGACAGACGAAAAAGCTACCCAAGGAATCGGAGAGGTGCTGCAACCCGTTGTGAAATACTGATCAATAGAACCGGAAGTGAGTATTGATGAACGAATGGGCGGAGTTCCCCATATGAAGACGAGGAGACTAATGAAAGGCACAGGAGGCGCCACTCAGCGAGATGAAACGTCTGAAGAGTACCTGAAAGAAGTGGGAGACTATCGATAAAAACGTGGGTGAGCAGTGTGCTTTTGATGCGTATTGATCGGTTCAAAGCTTACCCTCCGAGTCTAACAGCTGTCTCAACGTGTTCCCTCGGTCGCAAAGGTCGCCGTCGAGGCAGTGATCGAGCCCGTGATGTAACCCGTCGTCCACGACCCGTCGCCGTGTCACGGACCACTTGCAGTGGGTCCTGTGACGATCGCGGTTGTTCTGGAGATGAAGATTCCCTTGTGGTTCGCGGTGACTCTTGCACGGTCAGTAACAATGGCTCCAGAGGCGAATTTTCGGTTGATGGTGAAGTCCTGGAACGGAAAACTCGTCAAGGGGCGGAGTCAACGAAGAGGAACTGGGAGAAACTCACTGTCGATTCTTCGTCAATGGCTCCATTTTTGGGTACTGCTTGTAGACAACGTCGAACTGACAGAGTGGGCAGCGTGTAGACAACGTCGAAACTGGACAGAGTGGGACAGGCGGCCTATTGCGACGCAGCCATGGCGTCCACCATTTTTGGATGGAACCTCATGGCCACAGAGAGCAGCGCGGAGCCTCTGCTACTTCGGCATACTCATCAAGAGCAGATCAACAACGCCTCTCTGAAGCAATTTTATGAATGAACAAGACAAGCCTTTGAAAAGCTCGAGCTTCGTCGCTTCTCCTTCTAATCTTTCGAGAATTACCAGTTATATGAACTCACCTCTAAGGGTCTGGAGATGACTGCACTTCTTGCTTAATTGAATTTATCAGTCAGCGTTGCTGACTGCCTCAGCGATAAGATTTCCATGCCACATCCCTTTTACCAGGTTTCCACCCTATCCAGATGCTCTCCGCCCTTTTTGTTTGACTAATTGAGAAGTTCCTCAAGCGAGTCGACACTTTCGACAACCTTAGAGGCAGTGGGCATGATGGTTGGGGGCAGGCGGTTGCTGCCAACGCCACTGGAGGAATGGTCAAACGGATTGGGGCCAAATCTCTCAAATTCTCCCACAAATGACGTTGAATAGGTTATAGACGGAAGCAAAAGAGTGAATTGCCGCCTCATCGCGCGCGGCAATGGGAGCGACGTTTCCTTAATTTACTACCCTTTTGATTGGAGCATCTTATTTCATGTAAACAAAGACATGGTGAACACTCATGTCTATTTCGGTCAACTTGTCTGTTTGCCGACCAATATGCACATAAAATCGAGGTCCACTAGCAAGCGCGATGTCGCCTACGACACGACGAGAATTACGATTCTCTTGCCACACACCCGCTTGTTTCCCACTGCCTTTAAAACAGACAAGTGCTATACTACGAGAAATCGACGACGTAGTCGGCTTTGCGCCTAGACCATATAGACGAGTTAAGGAGGTGCACATAAACAGGCGCTGATCGGTTTGGGAGGGGCTTTTTGCACTTTTCTGGTTCTATTTGCTGCTTATTTTAACTAACAGGTCGACACCAACCAACAAGTCTCAACATGGTGGAACCTGTAAACCCTTGTGAAGCCGCGGTATGGCACAAGTGAGCCATTTTGATGACAATTATTCACAGGTCTTCACAACCTGACGTGTACAGGCTTCGCTCAAGCGACGAGCCTGCGCCGACAAATCATTCGCCGGTGACATACATGCGGGACTCGTGCGGGTTGCATTCTTTTATGCTAGCAAGGTAAAGAGTAATATTATAAGTGCTTCCTACCTGCGAGCTGGCCGTATTGGCCACCGATGTTAGCGAGCCGAATACCGGTAGATAGGTGGAACGGACCCTTCTCAACCGAGCAAAAGGCCGCCGTCGTCCATCTGCCCGTGAGACTCACTAGTCATCTTATGTTATGAAAACACGAACACGAAAAGATAAAAGCGGTTCTGCATAAGCTGCGCCCTCATAACTTTCGCGAAGCCGATCAATTCAGAATGCCCGAATGCAATAAACGTGCCTCCACCGCTAGTCGATTGGGTCCGCGCGAAACTCCAAGTTTGGAGCTTTCGAGCATCGTCGCGATTTGAAAAGCTCGCGCGATATAATGGCTAGAGTTCGCGAAGTCATCAACGATCGTAGCAAATGCAGCCATCCACGATACCTTTTGAAAACTTTCGGATTGTCCATTTCCTAACTGGCCTGCTCGCTGCCAAGGGTTTCGTAGACCATAGATCCCTGTGAGCCGTGGGTCGCCACCGAATCTTCACAAATACGAGTAATGTGATGAAAAGAACCAGTACTACGAGTAGGCCTATCAGCGACAGATTCAGCAGACTCGGCCGGAACACCTGAAACAGCTGGCTAAGCTGAAGCCTGTATGGTGTAATGGCTAGCCCACTGGCTGGATAAGCGTGAGGTCTAGGCCAGTGGCCCACAACTCAGCCTACTTGTGATGGGCTGAAGCCACTAGAGCCGAAAGGTCAATAATTAGTCACCGTTTGGAATGAGTTACCTGAAGCTTGAGCACATGAGGAGGCTTCGGCTCGACAAAATCGAGTCGAAGGTGAGCAACGGCAGCTCCTTGACCAGCCTCGGCCAACTGATGTCGGAGCCGTTGGGTTTCTTGGTCATCTAGGACGACCACGGGAATCTTTGACGCACGAATCTGTAACGAATAGCTTGAGTACGGTACTTCTAAAGGGTCATCTAGTCGACGGACCTTCATCGGTTTGCGATTGCGTTGAATTCGTGACGCTGGACCAACGATAAGGGCCAATGCTCCGGACTTTTCGGCGAAGCGTGCCTGAAATACTTATTTTGAGATACTGTACCCAGTAATAGCCCGGAGGTCCCGAGATTTCCTTTGAGCATAAATCGCTTTGTGTGATTGTGAGACGATGGGGCATTCATCGGGGGTAATTTCTGCTTTTTATCGTCGACTGACTCGTTCCCATACCATAAAAGTGAATGACTGACCATTATGAGGGCGCGATTGCTATAAAGATAGCGAAGCGATTGAGAAAGAAAAAGAGCGGAAGAGAGACAGAAGAGAACTGCAGGGAAACGTGACGTTAACGAGACAGAGACGGACGGACGGAGATTTTCGGACTAGAGAATCTACACCCTCAGAATCTTGACGACTATTGCCCGCCTCCATCGGGGCAGCTCTTTGACAAGTGGAGAGATTTCATCGTGAACCTTTTTTTCCTACGGTAGGCCCTTTCCGAAAGCAAAATCGGAGTATTCTACGGAGATTTCCATCGATCACTTGAAGAGATTTGTGGATATAAGGAGGGGGATTTGAGCGAAAGATTCAACATTAGCGATGAAGATCGAACAAAGCGCACAAAGTTCAAAAAAAGAAAAAACGCTTGTGCGCGCGAGCCTTCCGGAAAAATTTAGTAAGGGGAAATTTAGGGAGATGATGGGTAGTATGTGTGATGGGTAGGAGGGATTGTACCAATGGAGGGGATTCTGAGGGGGTAAGGTCGTGCCTTGCGAAAATTTTCCCCAATGGCAGAACGTGCATTGTCTCTACTATTTCCTACGTTGACA